TCTCTCTCTCTCTTCTCTGTGTGTGTGTGTGTGTGTGTGTGTGTGTGTGTGTGTGTGTGTGTGTGTGTGGTACTATTATGTACGATTGTTTCTTTCTATATTCTTCTCTCAACTTCTCTAAACATAGTTTCCTCTCCCTTTCCTGCTCTTGAAGTTTGCAAAAAAATAAAAAATAAAAAATAAATGTACGATTGTTTCTAGTACTGCAGTTTCCACAGTTTTCCGATGTAAATTCAAATTATCCACGTTGCCCAGGATTGAGTTGAATTTGGAATTTGCACATTATCCGCATCTGGACTGGCTTTCGTCCGTGTCTTTATCCCTTGAGATTAGAAATATGCTAAAAGAATACAATTACACGCTTCTTCAGAAGTGCTCTATTTCTTGAAAGGGAATGGTGCATGTATCGATTCCATGACTTCCTTGTCACTATTTATATATCTTCTCCCTCTCTGCCTACGGTTTACCGGGCAGTTCTATTTGACGATATATATATATGACGATATATATATATATATATATATCGTCACAAACAGATATATATACGCCCAGTGAACTGTGGGCTGTGACATACTTCGTCGAAGTGTCACCGAGTCATCAGGAGGCCGACCCCTCGTGTATGACGTTCACTGTCATTGTTAGTACTATGGGCCTTGCTCCAGTACTCTCAACATGCACAAAAAAAACAAAAAATATGGCGATGTACCTTTCCATGTTCTAGGGGAGGATTCAGTCTCTTTTTGCACATTTCGAGAGTTACTGTAGTGGAGTGAGGCCCTCTGTATCGTCACACAGAGCTGCCAGGAAGAAGGGGACAACAAAAGAGGGGCTGTGACATACTATTTCGTCCGATATAAATACAAGTAAATAAATAAAAACTAATAAATAAATAAATAAATAGATAATGTATGTATATGTAAATATATACACCACCACTTGCTCAGTTGGTTAGGCATGAAAGTGGCATTCAGGATGTCCCGATGGCTGCCTGCAGTACGCTTGGTGCCAACCATCTGAGATGGGCAGCTAGATGCTCCCAGTTGGTATTAGTCGGGTATTAGTAGGGTATTAGTAGGGTATTAGTAGGGTCTCCAGCCAACACGAGTGACTGCGAGTGTGAGTGGGTTGCGTGTGGTGTGTGCGAGAGTCTGGGAGTGTGTTGGCCTTAGCTGCCGCTGGTACTCCATGGGGGTGGGGGAAGATGAAAAGGGAGGCACAGCTACTGGCAAATGCTTGGTCCTTGTGTTCGTGGGGCCCAACCCTGCACCCTAAACCACTGGGGCAAGTGTCAAACATGCAATTACCTTCCTCCACTGAAAGAGATAACCTCCTGTTAGCCGGACCCCCACCGGCGGCCCCAACGCCGCACTCTAAACCACTAGGGCAAGGGGCAAATATGCAATTACGTTCGTCCATCGAAAGAGGGAACCTCCCGGTAGCCGGGCCCCGACCGGCGGCCCCAACCCCGCACCCTAAACTACTAGGGCAAGGGGCAAACATGCAATTACCTTCCTCCACCGAAAGAGGTAACCTCCTCTCACTGAGAGAGGGAGATTGCTATGCTAGCAGGGGTCCCCTGTATCGCCTTAGGAGTAGTGGTAGGCAGGTAGTGCAAGATGAAAGAATTTGAGTGAAGAATATACTGTAGTTAAACCACCAGTATTTGGCCCAGCTATCGGCCGAGGGAAAAAAATAGAGTAGAAACGTTTCTAGTCGGATGAATTTGGGCGCTCCTGTCGTGGCCCGTACATTTCCTAAAATCGTGGTGCGTTAACGGGCACGACTCTAGGATATACTGGTGGTTTCAACCACCAGTACCTTTCCTGCTGATTCGATTTATCGGCAGCTGCCCTTCCGTTTCAGGCAAGCGTGTTATGCGGCGCGCCTCCCGGCTAAGGTTTTCTTCCCAGTCAGGTCGCGTGTCAGTGGTTGGGGCTGTCACTATGCGGCCGGCCATGCTGTGCCTCTAGTGCCAGCTGTCACTACCCGGCCATGCTGTGCCTCTAGTGCCGGCGTTGTGTCTTGAGTGTATTTTCTGGCTGTCGCTACACGGCCGTGCTGTGCCTCTTAGTGCCAGCGGCGCGGCTGGAGTGG